CAGCGGGGGGACGCGGCCCGACGCTACAGGTACCTGCTCCTTCCCTCCCTGCCGCGGGACGGGGAGCGGGGCGGCGGGGACGGGCCTGGCTGGGGGCACAGAGCGGCCTTCCCCCGCTTTTGCAAAATGCTTCGCGTTTGGGCATTGTTTGGAAAAGCGGCGCAGACTCTGGGCTGAGCTGTCCCGGAACGTTATTTTCCCGGTACATAGTCAAGAGCCGGGGACCATCTGCGGTCGGTAAATGCCGAGGAAGCACCTGCTTCCAGAGGGAAGATGCTCTGCGGAGAGCCCTGTCCGCCCCGCCCACCTGGAGGCTCTCGGCTGAGCAGGAGTTTGTCTGCCCTCCTGAGAAGGAGGGATGGGGTTTCCTTCTGTGGCTTTTTTGTCTTAGAAGTCAGTAGTAACAGAAACTGAAATTGATTCAAGATACTTCATGATGATCTGTTGGTACCGTTTATATTTGCTGGAGACTGTTGTCTCCTAAAATTAATTTCTTAGCCTGAGAAACTGGAATGAGTTAGGCAGCACGGAAGACAGGATGACTAAGAGACTGGTGGCTCTGCCCTCTGTAGATTCGGCAGAACTGATTGTACTGCAGGATGATGCTACCCCCTGTTTCTGAACTTTCCGTGATCCCTTGTTTCTGAAAGCTTCTGAAATCCTTGTGTAACCTTCGTATCCCGTACACTGGAAGAGACCCTCGATGGGCTCGAGTAGTGAGGATGGTGTCTGATCAGCAAATTGAAACACCCCTGGTTACCAACAGATACTTCTAAAAGCGTTCTTCTCTGAACCCTTGTCTTGGGTATTCGTTCATCTGCACCAGGCATGACTCCACTTCCTGTTGTGTATGCCAAGCTGATACTTCATGCCCCAAGAAAGCAGCATCTGCTTTATCTATAATCTTCAAAGCTTCCTTTCAAGCTTTCTGTGGTGTTTGTAATAGTTGTGAGGTGTAAGTTTTGCTTTGTTTTGTTATTTTATCTCACCAAGTCTTGCATCATTTAGTCTCCTCTGATTTCTTCACTTCCTGCAATCCCAGCTCTCTGGCAGGATTGTGTGCGCAGTGTTGCATCGAGAAATCAGTGCAGTCTTATAAATTCTTAAAAGAACTGTTGAAAGACAGAAGGTCGATATTTGTTTCATGGAAGAGCTACTGTTCTTCATTCCAAATACCATCAAACAAGAACAGTCCTCCTAGAGGAGTGATCTTCCAAAGAAGACAAGAAACGGGTTCCTACATTCCAGGAACTCATAACAGGGAGCTTAGAAGACATGACTTGTGTAATGAGGGGCCATGTGGAAGATTTTTTTTTCTGTGATTTTTAAAAAAACCCAGAACAACACACAGCAAAACAACACGGCAACCAACATCTGCAAAAAAACCTTAAAAGACAATATGAACTGATGACTAAACCGAGTGCTGCAGATACCGCAAAGCTCGTGTAGTCCTTCCTGCTTGGCCTGTCAAAATTAGTGACTACCAATGAGAAGGTGCCCTATAGCAATATTCCTGCCAGTTATGGAGTGTCCTAGAGGAAATGTAGCCGTTGGTTTTGGACTGTAACTCTAATGAGCAGTATATAATAGATGCTGAAGGTTAAGAGGGATGTTTGTATGTCTGGCAAGTGCCGGGCTTGGTCTTGCCTTGAATTAAGCTACTTCAGCGTTAAAGGAAATGAAGAACCAAAAGCTCAAGGAATGTCATTGTTATTTGGTAAAGACAAAGTCTCTGAGGAGTTCTAATGTGGAAGCAAAGCTTAACAAGAGCTAAAGCTGCTAAAAATACTTCCATGGTTTCCCTTTAAATTCCAGACAAGTAGCATGGAAAACATCTTAAGTCTTTAGGATACTGCTTCAGGAGAAATTGTCTCATATTGCCTCTACTTTATATTTGAGCTGCGTTAAATTAAAAAACGGTAAAAGATACTGTAAGGCAAGGTATAAACTTGATTATTTTGCTTTTAACTTGTAACGGATTTTATTTGTCTCAGATAAAGCATAACATCTGGTTGAACACGCACTTGGTTATTATTTCAGACCTTTCTAACTTGCATTTAGAAAACAAAAAAGTTCTCACTTGTTTTTTTCTTTCTTGCTGCTTTTCCTTAGGTGTGCCAAAATGTCAGAAAGATCAGACATTCTTCACTTCAAATTTGACAATTATGGGGATTCGATGTTACAGAAAATGAACAAACTGAGGGAAGAAAACAAATTTTGTGATGTTGTGGTCCACATAGATGACGTTGAAGTTCATGGGCATAAAATTGTATTTGCTGCTGGCTCTCCCTTCTTAAGAGATCAGTTCTTGCTCAATGACTCCAGAGATGTAAAGATCTCTATACTGCAGAGTTCGGAAGTGGGGCGGCAGCTGCTTCTCTCCTGTTACAGCGGCACTCTGGAGTTTCCTGAAATGGAACTGGTCAACTACTTGACTGCCGCAAGCTTTCTGCAGATGAGCCACATCGTGGAGCGATGTACGCAGGCCCTCTGGAAGTTTATAAAACCGAAGCAGCCGTTGGAGAGCAAGGAGTGTGAACAGCAAAGCGACTCATCTGAGCTGAAGGAACATCAAGGAGATGATGACTCTCTGCAGCAAGATTCACCTTGTATCCAGCCTTCCGAAGACAGTATGGATATGGAGGATAGTGATATTCAGATCATCAAGGTGGAGTCCATTGGGGAAGTCACAGAAGTTAGGAATAAGAAGGATCAGAACCAGTTTATTTCTTCTGAACAAACTGCACTGCATTCCTCAGAGCCTCAACACTTTCTTATCAACTCCACTGTTGAAAACAGAGCAAGTGAAATAGAGCAAAACCACCTCCACAACTATGCCCTTTCGTATGCGGGCAGTGATAACATCATTTTGGCCTCTAAAGATATGTTTGGCCCTAACAACCGAGGTATAGACAAAGGCCTCCAGTGGCACCATCAGTGCCCAAAGTGCACAAGAGTGTTTCGGCATCTGGAAAACTATGCTAATCACTTGAAGATGCACAAACTATTCATGTGTCTACTCTGTGGCAAGACATTCACTCAGAAAGGCAATCTCCACCGGCACATGAGGGTGCACGCAGGCATCAAACCGTTCCAATGTAAGATCTGTGGGAAAACATTCTCCCAGAAATGTTCCTTACAGGACCATCTCAACCTGCACAGTGGGGACAAGCCCCATAAGTGTAACTACTGTGACATGGTTTTTGCGCATAAACCCGTTCTGAGGAAACATCTTAAACAGCTACACGGTAAAAATAGCTTTGACAATGCCAATGAAAGAAACGTTCAAGACATAACAGTGGACTTCGATTCATTCACATGTAGCGCTGCTACAGACAGTAAGGTCTGTCAGCAAGCTGATGCAAGCCAGGTACTGGATGCAGGGAAGCTGCCTCAGGCTGTGCTCAGTTTAAGAAATGATAGTACCTGCGTTAATTAAGCAATTAAAAACAGCCCTTTGTAGGGATCGTGACTCTGAGGAGCGAACAGTTGGTTTGGGCTCTTACCTAGACTAGTGGTATGCCCTGAAAGGCTACGGATGGATGGATGGCAGGTTGGATTGCAAAATTTGGCAGGTCCTCAGCCATCATTCTTAGTCTTACTTGGTATTTTCTGTGAATAGCGATCTTCCTTCAGGTTTCTGTCTGTGTCTCTACTGTGGATTATGGGGTTAATTGTTTCATTTCTCTCTGATTAGGAGACTCAAGACTAACACCTTTTGAAAGACTGTTGCTGTGGGCTGCAAGTAAACCATCTGCTGTACAGTTAGAGGCCTCTGTGTGTTGGGCAGATGGAGGAAAGAGCAAAGAGGACAAGTCTGTGAGATAACCTGATTACCTTTTTTTTTTTTTTTTTTAAGCACTGGATAACTGAAATCACTCCATATAGCTAAATTTAAATTTACCTCTTAAAATTATCTTTCTCTGATCTTAACCCTAGACTTCTACAGTTGAAATGAAGTATTTTTGTGTCACTTTTTTTTCCCTTTCTATACTATTTCAAGAAGCTTCTGCTGCCAATCAATGCTATCTTAAAAGCTCTCAGGGTTTTTAACCTCAGCATTATGCATTATGAAAAGATAAAACCCTAAACGATTTGGCAGGGTTAGCTGATGATGGCATGGAGCTGTTCAAAGGGAGAATAAATTGCATCTCTGGAATGTGAGAGGCTGGTGCCTGGAGTGCAAGTATGACCTATTTCTTATGCTGTCATACCTAGGATTTTTAAAGGGCACTTAGCAGTCTGTGTACTGAGACAAGCTAACCACTTCAAAACTAAAAATTATCATCCATCTTCCATAAATTTTGCATCACATAAGCCACAACAGTTGCTGGGTTTAGAGCAAAGCTGGAGTGGAGAAATACTGCTTTTAGACACTGTGAAAAGAATCTGTTTTAAAAGCTGCAGTGTATAACAACTCCATGCTTTGCCTTTTTTTATTTCCTCTTAGTTCTTGTATATCTCACCGTGATGTCTAGGAAGGGCCACATGTCAGTTAACTTGAAAAAAAGAACAATACCTGTCATCAGGACAAACAACATAACGTTTTTTTATTTCCTGGACATTCAAAGAACACTTATTTTTTTATGTGACCTGCATAGTTTGTGACCATTAGTGTTTTACAGGATGAGGATTAGGTAGCACAGTTTCTGTAGGTTAATATATCAGCTATTGACTGTACTCAGCAATACCTCTTGTATACCGCCTTAAACATCAAATGTAGCGGGAATGGCATGTTAATTGGGGTTCTGGGATTATACCTATTGCTTCTCAAAAGTGCCGTGGAATTATCCGTATCCCAATCAGGCTGAAAGGAACTAATTTATCTGAGGAACACCATTCCCAGTAGAACAGCACTCTTATTACAATGAAGTGTAGCATAGACTAATAATCAAATGGCTGATCCTCGGTAGGGAACTGCTGTTTGTGTTTGGAATAAGTATTTCTTCCAGCGCAGCTCTTTTCCACAAGGTTTGCCATGAGGCTGAGATATGCTTCCTACCTAATAGTAGTACTGTTTGTGTGTTTGAGTGAGGGGGTGGGGGCGAAAGGCTGCTATTGTATGGTTTAAAATGCTAAACAGGTATGACCAAAGGTGTGTTAGAGCAAAAAATGTTTTGTATGTAATTATCAAAAGTTGGTCTTGATCTTCAGCTGTGTGTGTGTAGAAGCCAGGATTTCTTTATGCAGACGTTACACTGATGGACGATAAAATGCATTAATGTTGCAGAACGTTTTCAGAAATCCACATTTTTTCAAGTAGAAAAGCAAGGTGATTCTGTGAATCAGTTTTTGCAATTGAGTTCTTAAACTACTGTACTTGACTGTTACATGAGCTGTTACATGGACAGCTGTGAAGTAAGCAATGGAAATAGAGTCAGGGCATTACATCCTTCAAGTTGTAGCAAATAGATTTAGGCCTGAAGTCGAACTATTTGAAACTTTTAAAAATTATTGTTCAGGTTCGTAGGGCAGAAAATAAGTTTGCATGGAAAGGAAAACTGTTTTTCCTCTTAAAGCCACCCACTTTCAGAATTGTTTTGAGTTAAAACTGACCATGACGTTTGCATCTGACACTTGCATTCTGTCTTCCGGCAGAATCTTCTGTATTGTTCAAACATTCTGATAATACATTATTCACTCTATGGAAATAAGTTGTAGCACTAACATCAAAACAAAGATAGACGTGGAAAGTAAGAGCTTGCAGAGCCAGGTCAACGTGCTGTAAGGACTAGTGAACAGTAACCAGATATGAATATGGACACGACACAGAACGTGCTTTTCTGCCAGAGAAAGGAATAAAACTGTACAAATGCTAGAAAAAGAGGCAGCAAAATGGACAGTATTGAAAGCCTTGTCTATCTGGGAATTTTGGGTTGTTTTGGTGTGGAATTATGCAGCTGTAATGTTACTGCAAGGAGAATACAGCTTGTTGAAGTAGCTGTGGGTGACCTGAAGCTGCTAAAAGAGACAAGGGGTTTCCTAAGAAAGAAAAAGTGATTTGATCAAGATACCTAGGTGTTTCAGTCCACCCTGTGCTGTGGTGATGTCAACGTCTGAGAATGCTGAGACTGCTGGCCGTTCAGTTGGAAGGCTGCTCGTGGTCAGTTGGTGAGACCATGGCAGAGATAAATAGGAAAAAGCAGAAATGCAGAAGACTGCTGTTTCAATGAAAACGGACGCATCTGTTGGATGAAAAGTGACTTTTACTAATGCCTGTGGTTTTGGCCTGGCAAAAGGGTGCAGACCAAAAGATTTATGCAGGAGATGACTGTGTGATTCCAGAAACACTGGAAATCCAAGAGGGCAATACACTGATGGTATGGTGCAAAGTGCACTGGTGGTAGAGGTCATCTAAGATTTGCCCCTGTATGGAACAGACAAGTGAGGAGTATAGAAGAGGTATTAGAAAAGAAAAATCTGGGTAATGCTTCTTCTCTGAATTACAAATTAAAACGGAGTGAGAATTATTATAAATTGAATATACAGAGGCAGCTCGATTATAGAATAAGATGAACTTAATTGTCCATGTATGTAAATGTTGTCTTCATTGCAATGTTCCGATTAGTGAAAGACTAGATCCATTGGTTGTTGCTACTGATGCTGCATATTCGGATGAGGACTATGGCAGTTATCATAATCTGTGTGTTAATGTGTAGAATACTATTTGCTGGTAAGTGGATAGTCTCACAACTTAATGTGCTGTACAACTTCCTGCATATCCTAAAAACAATTGAAGTCTATTACAAAAATACTTTAATAACTCCTTGAATATATTAGGATTTTTTTTATGTTGGCATTTTATTTATTTATTTTATATAGAAGAAGAAAATCCTAGCACTCTTAGGTTTACCAGAGGTTTAGGCTCAGCACTTTTCTGAGTGGTGGTAGCTTGTGTAGCCTGTGTTCCTGCAGCGTATGGGGCAGCTGCACAGCCTCCTGTATAGATCAGGGATGAGTCTTTCCTTAATTTATTTTTCTTTTAGAATACGTGTTTTGCAAGTTAGTAATTGATAAAAGTGTCAGTCTTTTTCTCCCCTAGCTTTTTTGGCAAAACTTAGATAGCTGCCACTGAACTCTTGTTGACGTAACTTAATTGTGTGGGTCTGATTTTGGTTCCGGAGTCATTGGGAGGAGTAAAGGCATGAGGGATAATCAAAACGTGGTACAAACAAACTTGTTGAGAGTGAAGTCACGTTAAATCTCAATTTTTAAAAACAAAGGGGGGGAAAGTAGTCGGCCCTCCTGACATGGTAATGGTTGAGACAGCAGAACGGACGTTGTTTCTCTGAGATTGTATAACGGACGGACTGAGCATTAGCTACCTCTTCAGTGACCGGGCAAAAGTCTTACACTACGTGTTGTTACCAAAGCAGGCGGGGCGGGGGCTGTCGGACAGCCTCCTCCCCGCTCTGGGGCCGGGCCGGTGGCCG